TTTTTTGACTAATTATCCAAATAATGTATAGTCCTACAAAGCTATTATTATGAGAGCATATGGAACAGAGCATAGCAGAGCAGAGCACAGCGTCATTGAAGGTAGCATTATTTTAGCAGCGTTGCCCAGTACAGCTGAACTAGCATACACCATGTTACAGCACAGTAGCGCTACTGCAAACCGGAACAAGTAGGCCTGTACTGCATAGAAATTTCCTGTCAGCGCGTTATTTGAGCGGACTTTGCTTTTCCTATGAGCATGAGTGGTACACGAGCGGAATGCACATTCATAGAGCAGAATACTGAGCGGAGCGTCAAACCGCGCCGTGACGAGGAGAGTGAAACATGCACGCTGAACACTGCAATTAGTGGTGGGCGGTATGACCAAAAATTTATATCACGGTATTTTTCAAAAATATACCGGTTTCACGGTATATGACGGTATTTATTTTTACATTTTTTCATGCATGGCCGGGTGTAAACCACATTTTCTACTGATTGAGAGAGGAAATAGGCTACTGCAGTAGATTGACTTAGAATGCCCTATTTTACTGTCATGATGAGTGAATATTGTAGAAAAATTCCACTCTAAATAGTGACGAAACACGACCTATTTGACATGTTAACCAGGAGTCACTCTCATTTATAATCGCGACATCATCTGATAAAATCAACATGCATGTTGAGCGGCTATGCAGTTGTTTTGGCTATATTACTTTTTTGTCTCATGCAGCACACTGCCTGCCTCTGCGTAACAACAACAACAAAAAAATTAATAGACGAACTAAGCTCATATTTATAATTCCAAACAGTCAGTAAGCGACAGGTGCTTGGAAACGCTGTTTTGTACTCATTTATTGATGAGTCGGCTGTGGTATGGCCAGCTGAATGCGCTGCTTCTCTGCCGCTCACTGCACAGAACAGACGCAGAGAGAGACGACACTGGGCCGGGAGAGTCAGACCTCGCGCTCGCGGGGCAGCACTGGCGACATCTTCCAACTGAATCATAGCTAAGGTTTATCCAAAAAAGTCGCTAGGTTTGTCAGTATATATATTCTATGGAAAAAAGCCGCTAAAAGCGTCTGAAAGTTGCTAAATCTAGCGCTGAAGTCACGCTCGTGTGTATTATTATTATTATATGTAGCCTATATTTTCGGTGCATCCCTACGTACATCTCCTCCTTGTTTACAAATCCGAACTAAGTCCATACATCCGATTTAAACACGGATGGGGCTTTCCTGATAACTTTCTGTGAGGCCGCCCTCTTTATTTTACTAACTTACTGCATGCTGAAGGTGACCCAGCTGACCTCACCAGAAAAAAAAACTCAACACCACCATCTAGTGGATTGTAAAGAAATTGATTTTATTATTCTACCAAATAGTATAACCCCCCCCCCCCCCTAATAAACATGGTGAGATTTTGCCAAAACTATTTGCTCCGGAACAAATAATATATTAATGCACTCATGAAGCCGCCCGAGCGCCACTCACTGCAGAACACAAGATCCAGGGGGCGTGGTTGGATACAGATCCAACTCCTCCCACCTTACATTTACCTAAACCTACCATCTCCCCCCCCCATAGATGTGGATCCAACCACGCCCCTGGATCTTGTGTTCTGCAGTGAGTGGCTACTGCTCTCGGGCGGCTTCATGAGTGCAGAATGGCATCTGGAGCTCACAACAACGTGAAACGTGATTTTTAAATATACGTTATATTTATTAACAAACCGCATTTTTGAAGTCCAAACAAGTACATTCTCGTCTACAATGCTCTTAAAACTACATTCCGTGACACAAAACAGTATTCTTTTTTAAATTATTGTGGATTTGGGCATCCCCATGACACTCGCTATGAGAAATACGGCAAGCGGAGTGATACAAACGTCTGAAAACGGCTGTTGGAATTCTATTGTACTCTAATATCAACACTCTTATCAGCCAATCAGATTTGTGGACCAGAAAGAACTGTTGTATAAACATATCTATACATATATATATATATATATATATATATACATACATACACACACACACACACACACATAACATTCACTTTGACATCCTGACTGTACAGTTGAACAGTACACTCACTCACGCTAATCACGGATGACGACACAGACTTTGCTATACTATACACTTAGACGAAATGTAAATAATTTATTGATCATTATGGGAAACTGATGCTCCAGTGCTGGGAACATATTGCACTTACTGACATCGTAATCGTACATCACTGCTAACTCTAGACAGACATTACAGTCTTTCCAATACACTGTTTTATTACCTCCCAGCAAACTGATCTTTTAAGTCCAATTAAAGTCACACATTTTGGGGTTTTGGCTACTTTTTAGGGTTAGGAATGGGATCGGGGTACGACTTACACCCAAGCCTACATCATTAACACCACGGCTCAACATGTGTTGCATTCTGACTTTTAATTCAACTTTTAATATGTGGTTGCCCTCAGGTCTTTGAATTGTAAAACTGTGGGCAGGTTTCTTATTTTGGCTTTCATGGTCAGTCCGTTTGCTTTTATCTGGGTCAGAATGCAAAACATCATTCCCTCTGGGAGGAATGCTCTCGGGCAGTTATATGGTTTTTCTGTTTACCAAGCTAAACAAGTGAGGCACAGACAAGGCAACAGTTTAAGACTACACACTTCACCCAAAAGATGAGGTCACTGGGTCAGAATATCATGCCGTGTGCCTCTGCAAAGTGACAGCTAGCTAATCCATGCCAGGTGCGACCAGGCCAACTGCTTGGTACTCACCCAAGTGGCACACATTGCCATCTGACTTTCAATCGCACAGTCAAGCAGTCTAATACTGTTATTCTGTCTGAGATACATCAGATTACAGAAGCAAAATGGGTTGTGAATGGCATTTCATATTGACTTTGACTACTAGGCTATATGGCTACCAATTTTGCAACTATAGAGGACAGTATTTCACACATATGCAATTTACTTAGTATTGTAACAGCATGAAGTGAACGTCTTACAATTAGAAGATCTGGAGGGATGTTAAAACAGAGCTTCCGAGAAGTGCAGAGAACATCAGGGGTTTTGGGAATTGCATATGCAGCAGCAAAATAAACACGAGCAGCTGTGAGGGGGAAATACCCAGAAGTGTTTACGTGTAGGTGCCTGTGATTCGGTTACCTGATTTATTTCCTGCTCAAAAAACTCCAATGTAATTCCATGTCAGGTGTGAGGCACTATTACCTGAAAGAAAGAAAAAAGCAAAAAAATTAGCTAATAAAACAACAGCTATGAGATCCATTTACATGAGGGGCATTAAAAAGAATGTTCAATTCGTATTTTGCAAAAAAGTATTTATATTTGTTAGAAATATTTAAATTTATGTTTTATTTTAAGAGACATTTAATAAATATTATTTATTTTTATTATATAAATATTCATATATTTCTTTCCATGCTAGGTTTTCTTTACAGTTTACTTTTCTTTTTTTTAACTAGAAGCTGGAAATGATATAACAGCGGTGGCGAACTCCGTCCTGGAGAGCCGCAGCCCTGCAGAGTTCAGCTCCAACCCTAATTAAAACTCACCTGCCTGTAGCTTCCTAGTAACCGTTCAGACCTTGATTAGCTTGTTCAGGTGTGTTTGATTAGAGTTGAAGCAAAACTCTGCAGGACTGCGGCTCTCCAGGACCGAAGTTCACCACCCCGTGATATAATATTATTCACAATTTCCTAAACTTTTGCTGGAAAATAACACATACTTGCACAATGCAAAACAATACTGACTGCTTCATAGTTTTCAACATTTTATGAAAATTATGTTTCTAAGATTGTCTTAGATAAGTCATTTTTGCGGTTTCCACAAAAGCTAGCCAGCAAGACAGCATTGTTGCTGCAAATTCTGATTTGTCACCAAGATCATGTGAAACACTTCACACAAAGCCAAATGTTCACGTTTGCAAGGAATAAAAATGCATGTACAAGATCAATGAATCTAAAATGTTCGGTATCAACCATATTATTTTAGCATACTACTATTAAAAAGTATTTATTCATATTTTGAATTAGCTTTTATTTTTATATTTTCCATTTTCATTGTAATTTTAGTTCAAATTTTTGTATTTTCTTTGTGCTTTATCACTTTATTAGGTTTTGTTTTTATTATATTTTTCTATACAGATTTAATAGTGCTGTCAAATTATTAATCGTGATTAATCACATCCAAAATAAAAGTCTGTTTACATAATATATTTGTGTGTAATGTGTAGATTTATTATTTATATATAAACACATACACATGCAGTATATATTTTGAAAATATTTACACATTTTATAAATATATTTGATATATAAACATAACAGATTTTACTGAAATGTATACATGCATGTGTGTGTATTTATATATGCTAAACTAGGACTGAACGATTAATTGCATTTGCGATAATATCGCAATATGAAATAATGCGATTTTTCAATCGCAGAGGCTGCGATTACACGGTCACGTGACACACGAGAGTAAAGAGGTGTGTTCGACTTGAAGATCGATCTTTGACGTCAAAGCACGGCGAGAGAAAGCATAAGGAGACGTCCGCGCTCTCTTATAGCTCTCGCAGTGCTTTGATGACATACACCGATCGGTCTAAGCAGCGCTGCTTCAAGTCGAGCGCAGGCCATCAGCAGAAAAAGAAAAGAAATAAAACGGTAAACAGCCAAAGGACGTAACTTAGAGTGGGAGATGGATCGGTTTGTCAAAGGGAAGAGAAAAGCCATAGATGAAGTCGCACAGACCCAGGCAGGTGCTGGTCATTCAAAAGCTAAATGCAGAAATTATGACAAGGCATATCTTGCTCTCAGCTTCACTCACCGTGTCTATACCGGACGCCACAGTTGTCGCGTCGCACCGCAACAGCTCTACACTGGATGCGACAAAGCGACCATTGCAAATCATTTTAACTTTGTGTCAGTATGTCATAAATAGAACAAGGCATCAGTTTAATGTCGGGTTTTGTCGCGTCACGTCGCATCCAGTGTACACAGCGTCACTGATTATAACGGTTCTACCGTATTTTGCCGCTCACGTCCGGTGTAGACACGGTATTTAATGTCATCGGTGGAGGAAAGCCTGTGTGTGTCCTATGCCCTAGCGGACAGCATGAAACCCACAAAAAATAAATAAATAACAGCGAAATAATAAGTTATTCTCTCTATGCTATTTTTCAATGTTTCAAGTGATGCAGGTGTTTTTTTCCCTGTAGGTTTTTTTTTTATTAAAAAAGTATACATTTTTCATAATGTTTAGTGAAATTATTTGATTGTCTGAGGTGGGATGGGGATTCGGGAAAGGTTTTTTTTATAGGTTTAAAGGGGGACGTGACCAAAAAAGTTTAAGAACCACTGTTCTAAAGTTAACAGACAGTGTTTAAAAAGTGCAGTCCCCATGTTTACATATGTTTATTACAGTGACTGTGAATTACCTAAAGTAGTGTGGTAAAGCAACAGATTTGTTTTTATATTTCTGCAATCTACTTTAGTTTGTGTGATTTGTTACTGACTTTCATATTAATGTTTACACCAGGCTTATTTAAACATAATTATTACATGCTTACAAGGTTGGAAGTTCAACAAATCAGTCAATATACTATGATTGTAGTTGTTAAATACAAATGTCATTCATATCAATTCATGCATCACCTAATTTCATTGTAACATATAGGCCTGGCCTACAGAAAAGAACATTTATGTTTAATCTATCTTAATAGTGTGTTGGTCATACTATACAATGATTTATAGCTTGTCTTTGTTGAATAATACAGAACATAAAGAGCTTTAAAAAAATAATTGCATATTAAAATCGCAATATTGGTAAAAAAATATCGCAATTAGATTATTTTCCAAAATCGTTCAGCCCTAGGCTAAACATAATAAACATAGACGGTACACACACACATATATTACTTCAACTTAAGCTTCTTTATTTCTATTAGCTGCCAAAGCAACATTTCTAACTTAAAGTTCTTTAAGTTCAAGTTATACTTTATGTCAGTTTTATTTTAAACACCTACAGATTGTAGTTTTTTTTTTTTTTTTTTTTTTTTTTTTTTTTTGAAGTTTTAGTTAACAAAAACAACACTGGTATCAACAGGCCTGAAACTCTCACACTGGCCCTTGCTATGCTCTATAGTTTTACTTTTTAAAACACAAATTTTTGTCACACAGAGGAATGTTCTGGGCTCAATAAAAGCTCTATCAACAGCATGCCACAGAAAATCATTTTTACTCGTGCTTCAGTACCCACATGGGCCGCACAAAGATACCAGAACAGGACTGTTAACATACACAGAACTCCACACAGTAGACAAACTGATTTATACAACGATAAACCATTTATCCACCTAGAACAGCAGTTCCACCGGACCCTTTAGGCAACTTAAACAACGAACTTGTTTTAAACCCGGAACATTCCTGCATGTGAAATTTGAAACCTGCGCTGCAAGACAAAAAGCACGAAAGTGAGAATGACTAAAAGAACACAGACATAAGTGACGCACTGACAGGGATACACGAGGACTGTCGGTTTTATCAATTGAAGCTGGTTTATCTCAAAGTCTCCTGTTTGAGATGAAGCAGAAGTTTGAGTTCCTTTTGTCCCACTTTATTTTGTCACTAGTCTATGAATCATAAGCTCACAAGTCATGCTTGTTGATCACAAACCGTGTTATTACTGTGTATATGTGGAATATCTTGTATTCATGTTTCCATTCTGCAGTTAAAATGCTGATGTGACAGAAAGCGCAATCAATAAGTCTCATGCAATACATCTCAAGTCACTTACAACAGAACCTTGAACCCTAAGAAGCCTAAAAAGCATTTGACTTAGCAAACCACTAACGTTAATGCAAAACAGAACATTACACTATTGTTTATAAGGCTATAGTGCAGTTATATAGTTCAAACGCATCTTTAAGACCATCGGCTTCAACCAGACCAAAAAAAAAAAAGAGTCAGATGGTAATACCATGGTACTCTAACACACCATGGTACTGTATGTTTACAGTATTCATACACTGTGGTATTTACATGGTAGGACAATACATTAATGTAAAAGTGCAGAAAACATGGTATTACCATGCCCATACCATACTGCTTTTAACCCAAAGGCAAAATAACACACTTAAAAGGCTGTAAATAACATATGTTAAGAGCTGTCATAACATGCCAACCCACCTAATGACAGATGCATGCAATAAAATAATAAAAACACCATGATGCATGTTACATAACAGTCCCACCTTCACAGCATCAGGACCACAAGCAACCTCCCGTGCCCACTGTGGCCAAGGTGACCTGTATCCCTGATAACCTACAGCCAAACGTTTGGCAGCCCCCAAAACATGCTGTCTCACCTAGCAAGTAACTTGACAAGCAAACTCAGGTCATGTGCTTGTTGTTCCCAACTACACAGTACAACTTCCAGCAAGCTTATAATGCAATATTAAACACCATGAAAGCATTCGAATAAATGACTGCGCATGCACAGCTGCTGCGTGTCAAACCAAGTCTCAAAAATAATAACTTTAACAGTTGTCTTACTCTACAGTGCTTGATCCATCCTGGTCTGCACTCCACTCACTAATCGTTTCCGATATCCAGTAAACTTCAACCGGAAACCCGCCTGTTTTTAGGACTCATCCAATAGTGGGCGAGGACTCTGAAGAACGGCATTGCGGACAGCCAATAGGCTCATTCAGAAGACTTCCGCGAACCCACTAAGCCAATAACATTTCGCTGCTCGGTGTTCTCGGTGGAACAAGTGGACCAATTAGAATGCTCCCCGGTTGTGGTGGAACGCTCAGCGTTGAGATTCTACCACAGGAATAGATAAGTGTGTACCATGGTAATTAGCATGTACATTCGTTTTTTGATACAGTAAAAATTATATTAATTTAAATACTATACTTTATAGTGCACAGATATTTCTAATAACACAAAACATTCTATTTAGGTTTTATTTTATTTTTTCTCACAATTGAGGATTCGGCTTTCTGAGTACTCAAGCAACCCCTGAACTAACAACATTAGTAGTAGAAGTAGTAATAATAATAATAATAATAATAATGCGTGTAATAAGTAAAAACATTTTTATAAATACATTATTTGGATTTATTTTCATTTAAAAAAAAAACTTTAATAAATCACTAAATCATGGGGACATGGAAAGCTACATTTCCTTTTGACAGAGTTTTGAGTTGAAGTACAGCACAGAAAGAGGGCTCTTACTGCCTCCTGGAGGCCAATTTATGCAATTGCCTGTTTTGTCTATGTCTATTAAAATGTAGGTTGCTTCTATTGAAAGCAAAGATAAAAATGTTTATTTTTATTGGTTATTGTACCACATTAGGTATAATTAGGCCGAGCATATCCACAAACTCATAGAACATAACCAAAACAATCCAAGGTTTTTATTTAGCACAGTGGCTAGATTAACAAATAACCAGACGCCACCCGATCTAAATATTCCCGCACAGTTTAATAGTAATGACTTTATGAATTTCTTCACTGATAAAATAGATAACATCAGAAATACAATAACAAATGTAGATTCTACAGCGTATAATACTTCAGCTTCATTCATCGCACCAAAAGATAAACTGCAGTCCTTTACAGCTATAGGACAGGAAGAGCTAAATAAACTTATCACTGCATCTAAACCAACAACATGCCTGTTAGACCCTGTACCCACTAAATTACTAAAATAGTTGTTACCTGTAGAAATCAAGTATCACCAACACAGAACCAGAAAAACTAGTCTGGAAGTTGTTTTCGTACGGTAAACTGTATCAATGCAGAAAGGCAGATCTAAGAGCAGGCTCCAATGTTGACAGCAATGATCTTACAAAACATCATTTTCTTTTTGACGCTATGTAAAGCAGTCCAGATTTGTTGGTATTCATAAACAAAATCAGTTCCTATTTTAAATGAAGTAAAAAACTACATGAAATACTGACCACGGTATTGACCTATTAAGGCCATTTTGTACATATTAGTACAAAATTGCAATAATTATTTAAGTGGGATTGATTTCAGTACTATTGCATACATTCTATTTGTGATAATTATTTATATTAATGCACTATCAATCAAAAGTTTGGACACACTTATTAATTATTTTAGTATGTTCTTAAGAATTTCTGAATAATAGTAAAGTCATTAAACTATAAAATAATATGGGAAAAAAAGGTTCACAAATCAAAAATGTTCTGTTTTATCTTCCTTGAAATAGCCACATTTTATATCTAGTTTATACTGTAAACCTTGTAATCTATGAATCAGTGTTATTTTAGTATTATGTATATACTAATAAAGCATTATTAATATTTTAAATTAGCTATTGTTTTATATTTTCAGTCTTCATTCTAATATTAGTGTTTAAGTGTTTTTTTATTTTTATTTCTATGTAGCTTTTTAGTTTTAGTAATTTTTGTACTTACAACTTAATTATTTAGCTTAGTTAGCTGCCAAAGCAACATTTCTAATTTTCGTTTTAATCCCCCCCCCTAATATTTATATTTTATTTTATTATTTATATTTTAATATTTATATTATATTTTATTTATTACAATTACTGAAGCCTATAGATCAAAATGTTTTAAAGATCATGAGAAACATAAACTGAGTCAAGTGTGTCTAAACTTTTGAGTGTTCCTGTCCATTTTGATCATTTATAAAAAAATAAAATAAATAAAAAAAATCTTTTCAATTGACTGTTTTTCATAACACAGGTATACTCAGTTCCTATGGCATCGGTGAGCTAATAAACCTCCTGTGAGAGGTCAGCAGGCCGTCATTGTGCGTCTGAGGCCCATGACCCTGAAGGTGGTGTTGGCGATCTTCTCGTACAGCAAGAACATCAGTGCGGCAGTGAGGACCGTCTGAAGCAGCTTCGCCTCCAGGCCTTTAAACAATCCCAGCACACCCCACTTTCTGCAATAAATCAATCAACAAACATCTCAGTTCAAGCGGAGGAGTTCAGATGTCAACAGAAACCAATGAATCACTTGACAATATCTTGCGTGACAGCTACTGAAAATGAACTGCAGAGTGAAATATGTTAGCACTACACAGGCAAAATCAGGTCAGGTGAAATGTGTGTTATTCTACCCGACTCTATTGATTAGCAGATACATGACAGCTCTCAGGCTGTTCAGGAGTTTGGACTGATCTGCGGGCTGACCATGCTGTCCAAACTGAACACAAATGAGAACGACAGACAAAACAGACAATATTACCATTACACAAACAAAACTGAAGTTTCAGAAAAAGTGTGGTTCTCTGGTTTCATATATCACAGCAGATCTGAACTAATGGACGCAAATGCAAAGAATAAAACTAACCTAACCATATAACCATGCATAGTTTAGAGAGCGAAAAACCAACTCTTAGAAGGGAGGGAAAAACTTTTCCCTTACTTATCTATTGTTGTTGACATCAGTGGTCACATGTCCAATCTGTATAGTTTTTAGGTGCAAATTCATCTGTGATTTACATCTGTGACAAATGTTTTTATTACTGTTCTGTTTTAATATATTTTAAAGTGTAATTTATTCCTGTGATGATCTATCTATCTATCTATCTATCATCTCTCTCTCACTCTCTCTATCTCGCTATCTATCTATCTATCTATCATCTCTATCTATCTATCTATCTATCTATCATCTCTCTCTCACTCTCTCTATCTCTCTCTCTATCTATCTATCTATCATCTCTCGCTCAGTCTCTCTCTATCTATCTATCATCACTCTCACTCTATCTATCTATCTCTCTCTATCATCTCTCACTCACTCACTCTTTCTATCTATCTATCTATCTATCTATCTATCTATCTATCTATCTATCTATCTATCTATCTATCTATCTATCTATCTATCTATCTGTCTATCTCTCCCTACCTAATTAAAGGCACTATCTATCTATCTATCTATCTATCTATCTATCTATCTATCTATCTATCTATCTATCTATCATCTCTCACTCACTCACTCTATCTATCTATCTATCTATCTATCTATCCAGACTTCTTCAAATGAACTCTATTAAAACTTTTACACTATTAAAAATTACTTCAGTCCTAGAACAGTTAGAACAGTTGCTCAGCTTAATATTTTTTGGGGAATCTGTGATACAGATTGTTTGATTAATAGCAATTGTAACAGTGTCCATTTAATGTATTTTTGCAGAGAATAATTTTTTTTTTCTTACTGGCCTCAAACATTTGAACAGTTGTATATAAGCGCCTTTTAAATAAAGTCTTTATTTCTTTCAAAATGTCTTTCTTACCAACCCCAGACTTCTGAAAGGATATAAAAATCAAAGACCTGCAACAAAATCAGTTGAGAACCAATAATCCAGTATGCATGATATGAGCTGATTGGGCAAATATAAACTAAACGTATTCTGGTCTTACCCGTAGAACGGATTGAACTGTCTGTAGAGGGTAGGTTATGGTGCTTGCAACGGCCTTGGCAATGGCTCCAATAAGAAACACCTCCACTGAGGAGAGCTATAAACAATCAGACAGAAATATAGTGGAAAAAAAGTTAAGTTAAACAATGAAGAGTCTGTCTTTCCTCTATAACAGAAGATTTTTTTTTTGTGCGTTTACATTCCATCTCCGTTATCACGAAACCCACAACACGATGACAGAATGTAGGTTTTTGGGTGAAGAAACTTAAAATATGTAGATAAACTGCACATTGAAAGACAAACCAAAACACTGATATGTTCTAATTTAAACTTCAATGGACTGTGACATCATCCATGGTTACCAAGGAGTTACATAATCATATTTCTAGGTTGCTATGTTTTTTTTCGTTTACTCATACTCGACAGATGCTTGCACATGAATACGAGCATCTAAATGAGCGAATCATCATCTGCATGTTTTTTAATATCAGAAATGCTGTAGTTACTGTTTCCTAGGCAACAGAGATCTTGTGAATAGACTCATCTGTTTATTTATATGTTGTCATGATTGAGTATGCAGAGAGATAATTCAAAGTTTTTACATTACTGTATTAGCTTTAAAATGGTAAAAGTTTCTTACCATGAAATTGAGTAAATTATAAACCCTAAAAACTGTTCTGGGATCAGCAGCCTGCTCTGACCTCTCTGTGGACGCCCCTCATGAGCTGCCTCTTCAGACCCTCGTAGATCATGAACTGCACGGCTGGATTGAGCACCAGCAGCAGGGAGGGAAACGTCCCGTTCCATAACGCACCCACTCCTTCCCGCTGCATGATCTGTACCAACGCATCTAAAGAGAGACGGATCACCTTATATCATCACTGGACACACATTTGAATTAAAAGGAAAGAAATTATGTTCACTTCTTTTAATAATTACCAGTAATTCCTTTGTAGTGTGTGGGCTGTATGTCTTCATTTCTGAATTTTGCCCCTTGCAGTT